GTCTCAATGCTTATATGAATCTTCTTTGATATAGTCTTTCGTCACCATAGATTACTTTGTGTCATTATTTGAGATCAAGGTCCATGAATTATAAGAAGTTTTTGACAAGCCTTATTTAAGCTACTAAGTACATAACTTATCATGTCTACAATCTTCCATTTTCAAACAAATCAGTAAACAGAGCGTGAAAATCGGACCTTAGAGGATATGCTATGGGTATTTGTGGCAGTTTATCATAATGATTGAGATAAATACTTGATGCCTTTGGAGTTTGCTTATAATGATAGTATTCAAGCAATTATCAATCATTCACCATTTTTTCTTAATATTGATGAGCATCTGATTAAGCCAACAACTTTTCATTATCCCATCGACATTAATAACCTAACAATAGAGGAATTTATACAATGGCTTATAGCGGCCTTACAAAAGGCACGTCATCGCCTCTTTATTACACAAAATTGATAAAAGCAGTATGTTGATAACTATCGACAATACAAGACCTTTCAGGAGGGTAATCAAGTATTACTCTCCAATGCCAACTTGTCACTTGCTACATCAATCCAAATCCATAAACTAATACCTTGGTGGCTTAGACCTTTTCATATTCTTATAGTGATATCTGATGTTGCATACTACCTCGAGCTTCCGCCACATATTTGGGTCCATCCAATCTTCCATATATATCAATTGAAGGAATTTCATATCAAGCCAAAGTGCTTTCCGAATTGACATCAACCACCACTACCACTAGTTGTAGTTGATGACCAACAAGAATATGAAGTGGATAGCGTTTTGGAGCATCGCTACCTTCGTCATGGCAGTGGATGTCCACAACTTCAATACAAAGTTCTTTGAAAAGATTATCCTATTCATGATGCAATATAGGAACCTACACAAAACCTCACCCATTCTCAAGAGACAATTTGGAGATATCATTAAGAGCAAAACGAGGACGTTCTATATTAGTGGACGGAAATTAATTGTAATAAGATATAAGTAAGATAATTATGTAAATAATTAGAACCATGGAAGTTTTTAGAATTGAGATTAGGTTAGTAGACGAGGTAGGATCCACTATAGAACATTCTAAAAAAGATTTAAGGCGATTATTTAAGTAGAATCTACCATAGAATCTTCTAGAAGAAAACTTAGGGCAATTATCCAAGTAGAGCCTACTATAGAACCTTCTAAAAAAGGACTTTAAGGCAATTATCAAGGTGAGGCCTACTACCTAAGAATATTCTAGAAAGTTTATGGTGGTAAGATAAGATATAAATAAGACTCGCCAGGGCCTTTTGGGGCATCTGTTTAGGTATGGCTTCAGACCCTTTCTCTTTGTAAAGTTTGGTTTTGCATCTGTCTATTTAGATCTCTTGTATTTTGTTTTTATTTGCTCAATTTTGTCTTTCATGTCATATTCTATTTATTTCTATTCAATTTTGTTCGAGTCTATTTTGTCCTATTTTGTGAAGAGGTCTTATGTTATTGTGGATTAAAAGGATCTTGGATTTTTGAGATAGTCTAGTCATGTTTTAGCTATAGTTATAATCTATTTCATAATATTAAATGTCATTATACAATACCTTGGATATACCATGCATGCAACACAAATAGACATCCAATCAATCATCTTATAATATTTTATTGACAAATGAGATTATTATGCTTAATATAAATATGTCTTCTATCACATTTAAAATCAATACAATCTTTGTAAAATTGTTGCTTATAAATAGTATAATCTTACTTACAAATAAACTTATTTATATTTTCTTTTAAATCTTCAAATGAATCAAAAGTCTCATCTGGTGGAAGAAACATATGCAATATAATATTCATAATTTAATCCAAATAACCTTAAAAAAAACCACTTTCTTTCCTTTTAAAATATTAGACACAATATCAAAGATATTACAATAATACAATGCAAAGGAAGCAACAAATTAGCTTAATACATAAGAAGATATACTACTAACAACATAGGATAAAAGAAAGAGATCATTAATTCTAAATGTTGATAATTAGTCAAATTTTACTATATTGATGTTTTTTGAACACGATTTTCATTTCTGACAATAGATTCAAAACTTCAACCATAAAAATGTTTAGGATTTGGCATTGGTGGATGTTTATTGAAGAAATGTACTCATTTAGTCACGTTGTGCGAAAGTTGCTCATGTATCCTTGTACAAAGATACAAATAAGTTGAAAAAATTGAAAGTTTTTTCTTTCATTTAGTTCCAAAAATATTGAAATCAAAATATTAAATATTAAATGAACATATTGAGATTGACCATTAATCTTTTATATTTAATATATAATAATTAAAGATGAAATCTGCACTATATTGATAATTTGTCAAATTTTACTATGTTGATGTATTAGCAAAAAGACGGGACCACTTTACCTAAATGTATGATTCCTGGATGAAGCACCAGACTTCGGGTTCCTTTTTCTGTATGACTTCGGACCCAAAAGTGAGAATTCCAAGGGAAAAACAAGTAACTAACATGGTGGAGAAAAGTGGGATTGAAATAGCTGAATGTGTAAAATTGTTGAAAACTAAAGCCAGCAATGCATGCGAATTGCAGTGAGAATGTACAAGAGCCACTGGTGTAGTTGTACTTTGTAATTCTACAAGCTGCCTGCAAAAACGAAAGTCTGCAACAGCGATAGCTACATCAAGTTCGTGTCTGGGACAAAATAACTCACGGTGTCACCGTAAATAAGAGGATTGATGCAAAGAGGTGGATCTGGGTACGATGGGTCCTTCACAGCAATTGAAGTCCAGAACACCATTTGCTTCTGTTTGCCACGTCTAGCCAATCCTTCCCAATGCAGACCTGAGAGCTTTTCCTGGTGGAGCTTCAACGCTAATGCAGCCCTTACGTTCGCAGGCTGCACAGCGTAAAGTGTAACAATATTATGACAAAGGACCAGAACTTCCATACCTGCAATGTGTGCAACTGACGTGAATGTTTTGAATGCCATTAACCTATTCCAAACAAAATATACAATCTGTGGCTCGCATTAAAATGCAAATGCAGCAATATGTCAAGTTCAGGAGTTCTGTGCACATATCACGATTCGTTGACTGGATTTTTAACACAGGCTTCAAACAGCCAGTAATACCTTGCCCGTTAGCTCAAGTGCATCCTTTGTGCCGATAGCATTAAGTTTCTTGTCAACCAATGAATTGGAGACCTCGACAAAAAATTCTTCTCAATTGAGAGTGTGTTTCAGCATCTGCACGTGAACAAACAGCGAGTGTTTTCAGAATTATAAAGTTTTCTTCGAATCGCATGTGGCGTTTCTTGCTCTGCACATTTCGACTCATTGTTAGAGAAAACAAGATTGCACTGCTGAAGGAAGAGGAGCGCGTAGACTTACACAGAGAGATCTTGCAGGTACACTCCAAGTTTGAAGAAGGTGCGGATGAAATGAGCTCACATGGTCAAATGCTTCCACGGTGCTGAGGACACAGGCAAGGGCAGGGAGTGGAAAGAAGCTCTTCTCAACGACGGTATCCATCATCTCGCCCAAAAATTCCGCAGAAGCAAGAGTCGCTCCATTGGCTCAATTTTCAACTCTCGCTCCATGATTAGTCCAAACTGTGGAAGCCGAACAGAAAATCATGAGAACCACCATGTCTAGAAGCTGAGAGGGAGTAGCATGTCAGAATGTTAAGAGCAGGAAAAATACCCATGGAAACCAATGCTGCAACCGACCACTGAGAACTATCACTCCGCCACTAACAAACTAATCAGGTAAGTTGGAGGCCGGCGTCGTGAAACAACGAGATCGTTGCGACTCTTGCAATTCGCGTTCGGACAGAATTCTGTCCGAATTCGGGCGTAGCGCTGGTGAGATGATTCACGACGCCTGCATTGCGATGGAGAATGGGGCCAGTAGTGAAGTCATTCTTGGTGTCAGCCATGGGCAATTGCACTTCGAGTCAGTCCATAAAGTTCTGAGATCTGCTTTGTATTCTTCTCATAGAGTTTGTCGCTGAATGGACTAATGATCTTGCTTGCCCTCCGAACCTTCGCGAACTACTCCTGGAAAGATTTTTCTTAGATCTCCAGCTCCAAAGTTTCAATTTTCTAAGCGAGAATTAGTCCAAAACCATGCAAGGAACACTTTTGTCTTGAAATATTAAGAAGCTGATGAATGGTCACCAGATCAAATAGTATCCAGTTACAACATGGATGCGGGGTCATGTTGTGATGGGATTTTATTTTAGCATCCGAGGAAAACTTAAGTGAAATACTACTGTCTAGCCACCTTGAAGACAACGCAAGGACCACGGTTGGGTTAGTCTTTGATCACAAGAGACTGCCAGTCCTGACAGTAGTTGTGTATTTCATCAGTTGCTCAATCAGAGGACGTCGATTGATCATGGAAACTAAGTGAGATACAATGAAGGTCCACTATTGGCTTCCCGCACACAATGCTGCATGTTAGATGACATCTTTTCAGACAATGCAGTGCAGTTTACCTTGTTTCCATGATTTTTTATTTTTTGGATTCCTTATAGAAATAGTGGCAGTGTTGGATTTTTTTCTTGACCAATGTGGTGCTCAAGATGTAATACTTGGTGGACATAACCCAAGGTCGAAAAGAAACCCAAGCATTTCAGTAGCCTTTATCCTCCCACACATGCACCATGGTTGAGAGCTTGTACTTTACATTAAGATCCTACTTGTACAGAGGAGTAAAAAAAGGAAAAAATGAAAATAAAATAAAGTAAAATAAAATGAAAATTGGAAAGAAAGAGACAACCAAAAAAAAACTAAATCAAATGGGGGGAGGGGGTGAGCGGAGAAAAATCCGAAATAAATCTCCCTCATGAAAAGTACGGTGTTTGTATCGTTGACAAACGATGATTGCAAATTACCCTTTCAAATAGAATAGTTCAAATGTTTTAAAAAGATATTGAGAGAGAACAGTAAATCAGTATTATGAATCCCCAAAACTCCGTAAAAACCCAAAACGCTTCTTCTTCGACCATCGAAAACCCTTCCGTCACCGAACATTGTGGTCTCACAACCTTGCAGGTATTGTTGAACTCTGTTTCTACTTCAATGAAGAGTTTAATGAACTGTGAGTTTTCGGTAGGGTTATAGAGGCGTTTCGGAGGCCGTCATTTGTCGTTGCGGTGTCAAAGGCTTGGGTCGACTTTGACGTTGAGTATGGAAGTTTTTGTAGATTGAGAGGAGGCGTGAGGAGGTGGAGGCAATGGAGGTTTCAAAAAACGCTTCCAATGAGTGAAGCCTTGTTGCTGTTGTTTATATAGTTTGTGACGTTGTGCTCCTTCTTTCTGGCCATTCTGGGTTACTATATCTCGATCTAGATTATGCCACGCCAAGCACCGAAGCGGGTGCCCTATCTTTGAATGGGAGTCGAGTGTGAAAGGTCAGTTTCAAAATGTCTAAGTGCGATTTTGAAGTTGATCTGCGCACATCAAACTTGGTGTGCACGAGATGCGGTGGTCGTGGAGTGCACCAAATTTTATCAAGGTGATTATTAAGTAATTAGTACTGTAACTTATTATGTTAATGCTAAAAGATCTGCAGCTGATCTAAGACGTGCACATGCTGGATGAAGCGTAGAGGCAGTTACCGAGTGAATCTGTACTCAAAAGACTACTGCATTGAAGTCCCTTATTAAAAGAAATAAAGAATCAAGGAAATTATAAAATGCACCACAATTATTGTAATTGAAAATTGGTTCATCGATTGCATTGTAGGCATCTTCGTATCATGACTGTACATCCATGTCCTACATCCACGTGTACTCAGTTGGTTGATTATTAGTGTTGACCTTTTGCAGATTTTTTGTAAGACGAAGGAACTCAAAAATGTCGCTTGGTAACAATTTTTCTAGCAATCCTTCGGACACTCTTCACACTTCTTCCGCTGTGTAGTTACAAAGAAACGGTAGTGTGTCGTTTGTTACGTGTATGGTGAAGGATTTCTTTGTGAAGAGATTTTGTAATGGATACTGGAGAGGTCGTTTACGTACTGGAATTAGAAGTTGTCATTTCTAAATTTCCTTACCAGAAATGCAAACAAAATATGTATGCCTGATTTATTATACTCACTATTTTATCTACATTTTTAAGGGAACCCTGTGGTAAACTTCATAATCTTACAATAATACTATTTGTTTTCGATACTCACTCCTGTGTGGCCATTTGAAGCAGAAATACTTCTTATACACTCATATATTTGTTTTCGATACAAACTAAAGGAAATTAGTGCATATATGAAAGTTCTGAAGTTGGTGATCATCACCATCTGTTGATTTTTAAGCTATGGAAAACTATGTTTTGAATTCATTGTCCTCTCAAATCAATCTTATTTGCTCTCGGGCTGGCATACTACCTCGGTTCAGAAGCTCAGTATGGCATTTTGTTTTTTCTGTCTGCACATGTTATGAAATTGAAATTTACACGGTCAAATATTTTAAGTAAATATTTTGGTATTCGTCGTGTGACTTAATTATTTGAGGTTTCGTTAATACACACTTCTTGATGATGTTTTAGATGGTGTTGCAGAGCATCAGGTTTTCAACACCTTAGAATTCTTGAGTAGCACTCACAAGTGTAGAATACGTTCAGAGTTTGAGAATTTCAACTTTAGTCAGGTGAAACTAATCAAAATCACGATCCACTTCCTTATGAAGATTAACAATGATGAGGTTATAATCCAGTAGGACTCACCAATCAGTAAGCCATTTGGTTTCTAGATAGGGATTGAGAATCTCATCCACACTATCAACACTTGCAATCGCATAGTTGATTTGTGTCAATCTAGAGATTTATTCAAGAGTATTCCATGTTGTGCATTGAAGGATCTATGAACTTTACATTGACCCAATCAAATGTGTATGTTTTATTCACCTGCTGTCCCATATTATGTTTTGCCTAATACAGTGTTGTGAACCAGTCAACCTGCTCACAATTGCAACGTAGAGGGCCTTACGAAGCTTTCATGACCCTAAATGAACAAGTATGGCTTTGTTCTTTGCACAGAAACAGCCAGCAACACAATGAACTTATGGTAATTTTTCTCCCACCTTGGATAATCCGACGACTGTGTACAACTCTCCCAGATTCTCAACATCGGAGCTTCTCTGATTTAAATCCAACCAGTCTTCTACAAATTGAACTGTACCCGTAAAGGAACTTAAGTGCGTGAGTGGTTCTCACAAGGCTATACCGGCATCCTCTAAAATACATATTATATTGAAAACAAGAAGCAAGCTCTGATCATGCAGATTTGTATCCATAATCCCTTGGATATTTTGAAGTGCAGTAGCTTTACGTATTACAGTATTTCATGGTTACTGAGTGGAAGCCCAAAATATATCGTTATTAGTGGAGCCGTGATGATTCGGCGCTGAGTAATCAAATTACCAATAACTATGTTTACACCTGTGATGATGGCAGTCCTAGATTCACAACTCTGCGTGGAATAAATATGTACTTAAACATATGTATAGTAACACTTACTCAACTGAGATGACGATTCTCAATGTGACTTGCAGATGACATTATACACGCTACTTGTTGTTTGTCACATATCTGATCCTGTGACACATCGATTGACTTTTCCTGGACATGGTCGATTTCTGTTCGCCACTGTCCGGCCATGTTTCTAGAAGAAATAACCCCAGATCTTGGGTTCATTTTTTTATATGGTTTTTTCGTGTTGCTTTGGCATATTTTTGTCTCGTCTGCTCGTGTCCTGCATAACTTTCTATGCCTCCAGTAGATCACTAGCCATCCCACTGATGTCATGTTGACATATGTGTCACATCTTTGAAAAAAGCAGCCACAGTGAGTTTCTCATTATAAAGAGTGTTATTATTATTATTATTGCCTCCTTTTTTCGGCTACGTTGCCATTAAATCTGCACAGAAATCCGAAACCTTCCCACACTTTTGCGGTACAACTAATTATTCGTACTTTTCCTTTTCTCCACCTGGAAGCATCTCTTCCCATCCCTACGATTCCCCTACGCCACACCATCGTAATATCTGATACGAATGGTGTGGAAATAATGCTAATTTGAGAACGCGATTTCGGGTGGCCACAGCAGTTTTAGTTCGGGCCTGACGAAGTGGCCTACTGGGGGTGCTCTGAGAAGCTAGCCCCGTAATTCCCAGCTCACTCACTCACTCACTCTTACTCACACCCAGCTTACAAGTGAATTGAGAAAGCTACATCTACTTTTCACGCCGATGCTTTTCACTCTCTGGGACCCACAATTATGGGAAATCACACTGACCTGACACCTTTCCAGTGTAAGGACAACTGCAGCACCAAGGATCTGGAGCGAGAATGATACAATCTCACCGGCTGACGCCGTCGAACTATCGATTTTGTCCACCTACCGCAAGCACTGATTCATGCCGCCTGCTGAGAATGATGTAACATGACAGTTAATAGAAATCCACAACGGACTGGGGACCACACAAACCACAGTCTGCCTGACAGAGAATGCCAGTGGCGTCGACAGGTTGTACACATCTCATAGCGGATGAGCATCGCTATAAATTCCCTCGGGGGTGGGTGAAGTTAATCCAGGATGAGGAGGGCTTCTAGAACAAATCACGGGATTTGTGCCGAGGTGGGGCCGCACACTCTCACAGTGAGAGAGAGCAAGAGCGAGTCTGCGTGTTGTCTGGATCGTCACGAAGTTTCTGGTAGTGCTTCTTCCACGAGAGACGTGAATGGAATGCAGCGAAGCCTGCGAATCTCGCCACGAGCTTGGCTTACGATTTGTTAGGGCCCCATTTGTTTTCTCCAACACTGTGCCGACACACCGGAGCGAGTAAGGGCGATGCCAATTTAGGGTTTCCTGGCCCAACGGACACTGGAGGACTTGGATGATGAAATGAACAATTGAGAGTGATGTTAAAAAACAATTGCATGTTTCGGAATTAGTTCGCAGGATTTGGTTCCCCATTACATGCAAATATAATACGAGATGAAGTTTAGTCAATTCTGCATACATTAGCGTTACAAGGGCACTGTTTAAAAAACAAGTTTTTGATGTACAGATCTGAGACTTTTAGTGCGATCTGAACCCGGGGACTTTGTTATGTTTAATTCTTTTTTGTTTGTTTTTATTCTGTTTGTGAAGAATTCTGTTTTGTATGTTGAATGACTAGTGGACTATATTTTGAAGGATATCCTCACAAATTCATGCACATACTATCACAAGTATATTTGCACATTAAAACAATAATATATCCAATAAAAAAATATACAAACAACTACTGAAACATTGTTACTCTCATTGAAACAATCTATTCCAGTCTAATATAATGAAAATAAAATAAATAAATACATACACAACGTTCTTCAAGGGTTGCTTCCAAGCTGAAGAGGCAAAACCCCTTGTTCCAAACTCCACCCACTGCATAATATCATCCAAATGGTGTTCATCCATTGAACGAAAACTAGAGGTTTTTATTTATATATATTTTTCGAGCGTTCCATAATATAAACCCTAACTTGTAACACACCTTTTTCGCTTTTCTTTTTTTTTTATTATATTTTTGTATTGCAATATATTCCCTGTTATCTCGCTTTTACGCATGTGCAACAGTTAGGGTAAAACAAAAGGGTTAGCTGTACGGACACATCGACCACCCAAAATAAAACCCCACTGTGGCAACGAGATGCAAAAAAGGCTCCATAAAAAGGCATATCAATATCAGCCCAGCAAATGTTATTTATTTATTTATTTATTTATGTAGTTAGTTTTTACCAACACCGCCAACAATGTAGCCCCACAGGACTCATTCCAGGGATGACATGGCGGGTCATCCCGCCAACCTGCTTGTTGCCCCCATCCCACGTGGAATAGCGCCAATCCCAAACAGCGAGAAATCGAGAATGAGCTCACAACCCTTCAAAGAGCACAGGCTCCCAAGCCCTAAAACGAAGATTCGCACGTGGCCTAGTCCTTTGTTCCCTCCCTTGGAAGTGCGAAGAAGGCTTTGTCACACACAGCGAGGCGGCCCCCACAAACCCCATAATCCGAAGCTCGCCCGCAAAGACTCAGCCGCAGATGCTTGGCGATCTGGGTTGCGCAAAAGATCCCACCATGCACCGAGGAGGCAGGCACTCACTCACTCACTGCCTGCGATTTGCAACCACTAGAGAAGAGAGGCGGCTATAGCTCGAACGTGCAGTTTCCCAAGGAAGGAGAAACTGGGTCCGAATGGTAGTCGATCTATCTGCGCACTCTATCAGCAAGCGAGCCATGGACGCAATAATCCACTCATGCTGCTGATGCTTGCCTGCTTTTTTGTTGTCATTATTATTATCATTATTATTCTACTATGCTGCCTTCCTTCCTTGTCTTTCCTTTGGGCTCGCGGGCTCGCTCGCTCTCTCTCTTGGTTGATTGCGCTTTGGAACGAGGAAGAGAGTCGAGCTTGGCAGGCAAGTGCGTGTGTGATGTGCGGGTGGGCGGGACTGTGAAGAGGGCCGACGTGGCAGACTAAAGTCGCTGAGGTGGCACTCCAATCTTTCTCGGGGTGCGGACCAATGACAGCACATGGTTTGGCTGAGGGGAAGAGCCGTATTTATATTTAAGTATATTTTTGCAGTAGTTTTAACTTCCCCCACTGGAGTGGTTCTCGTACTGTTTGACAACACCGACTGGTCGGTAATAAGATTAGTGTTGCTCACTGTTCCCACCCACTGCCATTGATTTTTCAGAATTGTATTCTCTCTCTCTCTCTCTCTCTCTCTCTTTATGTGTGTATGTATATATATAAAGAAACAAATAAACAAGGTGTATGTGTGTGTAAAAACGTGTAAATAAAAAAATAAAAAAACATTTATGTTTCCTTCCATGTACTTTGATGTACTATGGATTCATGCCCACATGTAGTGAAAAGATGGTTTGGAAAGGCATCTCACGCCTACATAAAACCCCAATTAAATTTGGGTAAATAAGTTTGAATTTATTTATTTGAATCTTCTTCCAAATTTTAAATTAAATTATTTCAGAAGATTTTACTTGCCAAATACTAACTTGTTTTGTTTATGTTTTTATGTTTTTTTAATGTTTTTTAATGTTTTTTTATGTTTTTATGTTTTTTTTTATGTTTTTTTTTTTTTTTTGCTAAAACAATTAATCCTTTTCACTTTATATTGAACCTTTTATACTGTTTTAATTTTTTAAAGAAAAAAATATTGAATTGTTTATATGATTGAGAAATTTTTAGTAAAATAAAATAATAATAATATCTAAATTTATACAAGCATGATGTATGTTACATGGTTTGATTCAAGTCTACTTTTGTAGACAACAACTTCTTATCCATATTTTCTTTTGAAATTTATTTATTATCATCTCTACTTGGACAATCACTTGAAGCAGTGCACGATAATAACA